TTTTTATTATTTTTTTTATTACTTCTTTTAATATTTTTTTATTATTTTTTATTTTTACATTTTATTATTCAAATACTACTAAGACTCAGACTTCTTATTTGCGTTGATAAAAATGAACTTCATAGAACTTACCAGTTGTATTAAAATAAATGTTTTTGGTCATCAATCTAAACTAAAATAAATTTAGTGCAAATTAAAATTATTTATTATAAAAGTAAAAAACACAATTTGGTTTTAGTTATCATTTTGCATAGCAAATTATTAATATTTTATTAAAAAACAGAATCTCATTTTTAACACAAGTCTATATATCTTACAAACTAAATTTAATTGTATTACAATTACATATATATTATATCTATATATATAATTTTATATGATAATCACTTAATTTAAGTCTTAAATAGTTACCATTGACCCACGACAGTATTACTGCTTTTGGACTACTATAGCCAAAAATAAAGATGGATGATCCACTTTGAAGCGACAGTGCTCCTGGGCAGTGATAAGGAATGAGTTGGGCAACTAAGAAATAAAACAAAAATGTTTTCTTTAAAAAAAATATATAACAAATTAAAAAAAATAAAAGCAGTAATAATAATAATTAATTGCAAAGTACTAATCATAAAATTTAAAGTAATAATTTAAGTAAAGTAATAATAAATTAAAAAATGCCTGATATTGAGTGCCAGGCATATACCATTGATTGTAAGCGATATCAGATATCAGCGTTATAAAGCATAATATCTTTAAAAGTAATATATATTAACTAATATCACTAATAACTGATAATGTAATATTTGTGAATGATGAAAAATTGCAAATTAATCATAAATTAATATTAAATAATACATAATAAGACCGAAGTTTCGGAAATTCTCATTTAAAATTCGCGCGCTGTATATTTTCCGATATTTTAAGTTTATGTAGTTTGGCAGCACTGTCCTTAATTACTATGCCAAAAATGAGCGCGATCTGTCAGACAGTTCGTTTACGGCAGCTGTTGAAACCAGTTCACCTCAGTAGTGCGTTGCGAAAAAAACAATGGAAAAAAATATTGGACAAAGAGTTTGCATCAAATTTTGTGTTTCGAACGAAATTTCGTGTGCAGAATCGTTGCGAATGCTACAAAAGGCTTATGGGGAATCAGTTTTATCGAAAACTCAAGTTTATGAGTGGTACAAAGCCTTTCAGGACGGTCGTACGACCGTCGAAGACATTTCGCAACGCACTACTGAGGTGAACTGGTTTCAACAGCTGCCGTAAACGAACTGTCTGACAGATCGCGCTCATTTTTGGCATAGTAATTAAGGACAGTGCTGCCAAACTACATAAACTTAAAATATCGAAAAATATACAGCGCGCGAATTTTAAATGAGAATTTCCGAAAACTTTTCAGTCTTAATGTATTTATATATTTTTAACATGATGTACATGATTACATGAATAATTTATAATA